AGCAGCGCAGTGTCAATCGGCAGCTAGATTTTATCCCGACTCAGTGTTTCAGCTGCAGGCCAGCCAGTACGCGAAAGCCGACGATCGACCTGAGCAATCATTGTTCTTCAGCTGTGCGATGTACACGAATTAAGGGCCTAGTCTTAAAAGTGGGATTATTGATGCAATAACCACGAATAGTGGTAACAAACGGCGTCGGATTCCGTTTGCACATACTCCGACCGCATGCGGACATAAGGCCATACGCCGTGAGCGAGAGGGACATAATGGCCACTGCGATGGAATCCCCTCCAGCCTTCCCCGACTCTCCCATGGAGCCAGATGAATCCGCATATCCTTGTAAAGGTTGTGGACAGGTGAGCCTTTCCCTACCACATGGTACAGACCAATGCTGACAGGACCCTTTGAAGATACTCGAGGAAGGCAAGGCGTTTGAGCTAGGTAGGGACCTTCATCCTTTTCTTCTTGACTGAACATCAATACTGACGGGTTATAGCTGGCAACAGATGGCACATCAACTGTTTCCGCTGCAATACGTGCAGCACCCTCCTTGACTCCAACGCAAACCTCCTTCTTCTGGGGGACGGCTCGCTGATATGCAACAACTGCACCTACAGCTGCAGCAACTGTGGAAACAAGATTGAGGATCTTGCCATATTGACTGGTGATCAGGCCTTCTGTGCCAATTGTTTCAAGTGCCGCAATTGCAAGAGGAAGATTGAGAACCTGCGATATGCGCGGACGTCGCAGGGCATTTTCTGCATGGACTGCCACGAAGCTTTAATGACCAGAAGACGGAAGAGATCTGCTAAGAGCACTCGCACCAAACCGGGCAACAACGTGCAAGATAAGGCTTTGCCTGCAATCCCGCCGCCGGAGGCCAGGAGCACCGCCTACATTCCCGAAAACCAGTCGTCCCCTTTCCTTGAAGTCTATGCCGAAACCCCTGCAGCGGGTGTGCCTTCGGTGGGCAAGACAGTCAGCGAATTGCAGGCAGACCCGGACTCGAGGCCATCCACCTCGGATCAGTATGCTTCGAGCGGTAAGCACCCGATCCCTGATGCCTGTAACTCGTCTGCTGACCTATTGTAGACATGCTCACGTTACCCTCCACGACCTTCCGTAACAACAGACATTCAATGATGTCGCAGCGGTCAGATCTGCTAGGGGGTGGTGGTGGTGGTGGAGGTGAAGAATTCCTCATACCACTCGCCTTCGACCCTACACCGCAGCCTGCCACCCAGACGCCCGGCTCTTCACACCAAATGAAACAGAAATCCGTCGATGAGAAATCCACAGACTATTTCACAAGCAAGTCCACACCCCCGGTCGCTCAAGCGCCACTCCTCAAGTCGAACACATCGAGTCCTCACATCGCCTATCAAGAGAAAGGTCGTCTGCCTTCAAGAGACGCACTCGAACAAGGCCGCAGAGGTGGAAATCTGAGTCGATCGGGTTCTGCGGCTGCTTCGCCCTACGCCCCCACCGAGTCTCCCAAGAATTCGAAGTCAGATGACTCACTTCGGCTGTCGCAAATCGGGCGCATCAACGAGGTGCAACAGAATGACAAGTTTCGGCTCGAGGCAGCGCCCAAAACCAAGAAATTCTCGACCTCGACGCCGAGTATACGCTCAGAGCGGTCTACTCCTCGAGCCGACGTGTTGGCGGACCCTATCGAGCAGTTCGCCTCCGCGCCCAAGCCCTTGTCTGTCCCGGACGTCGGGTCGCCATCAGATCGTGGCTACTCTACGCCTGGAATGTCAAACGAGTCGAGTCCAGCTTACAGTGCCTCCAACGTGTCTCCCGAACCTGCGCAACTGCCTGCGGCCTCTATACTGCAGAACCTGCCCAAGCGAGGTGACTCCTTGGACAGTGCCAAACGGAACCAAACAATACCCAGAAAGGAATTGAGCGCCGCGGCCAACATCCCTTCTGCGACCGGAGGCTCTGTGAATGGGGCTTCCACCACGCCAAAAGCGCCGCTTAATCTAGCAAAGGCAAATGGTGGAAAAGTTATTTCTGGTCCCATTGGTTCTCCGAATTCCAAGAGCATCTTCGATACAGCAGACAGCTCGACGATACAAGATCTTCATAGTGCCGGTAGCGTGGGCAAGGCCAATGAGTCTTTCGTCGACCCACGGATGCCCCCTATACCTCCCGCCAATCACTCGAGGACGCGAAATGAATCCTTCAGCACGTTTCAATCCGAGAACCAGCGTTATGTCGAAGGCTCGAGATCGCCGGGCCTTCCAAGATATTCTGCCGGCGGAGATTTCAGTATGGACGAGGACATGGCGCGTATAATGTCTGGCGAGGAACCAAGTCCTGCCGAGTCGTTCCTTAGAAGGGTTTCGAATTCTGTTCGCCACGGCCGCAGCTATAGCGACAGGACTGGACGACTCTCAAAAGACCGTTGGCCTCGCTCGCCTGCTCTTCCAGGACCCTCCATTGCGCAGGAAATTAGTAGTCCCAGCAGTGCATCTCCGGAACATCGCGACGAACTTGCTTGGTTCAAGAATGAGCTTCGACGAGAGCGACAGAAGACAGTTGAGCGAGAGAAGCGGATAGCTGAGCTCGAGATACAGCTCGACTCGGCCGATTTCAAACAGGTGAATGTCGAACTCAAGGAGAAGAGATCCACGATGGTGGTGCTCGATACACAAAAGGAAATCGTGATCAGAGAACTGGAGGTGCTGACCGAGCATCTCGCTGCTGCGAAGCTCAGCGGCGAACCTTTTGATTTAGGAAAGATGAGCAACGCAGTACTTCGCGACTTTGCCGAAGCGCTCGAGAAGTTGAGGACGTCATTCGCGCCTCAGATCGAAGCCTCAATCCAGAAGCGAAATGACCTGGTGGATGAAATTGCCAATCTGACTCAAATGAAGGACAAAAGTTTCATGGAGTTTGAACAACTGTCTTCGAAGAACGCACAGTTAGCCGAGCTCAACAATCAGCTGGTCCACCAGATACAAGGCTTGTACAAGGCCAATTCAGGTGCCCAGGAACAGCAGAAGTCGACCATGAACGGATTGGGAATCTACTCTCATCACAAGGAGAAGTCGCAGCTGTCTTTCGATTCGAGAGATACCCTGCGCAACATGTCGACGGACTTGACTAATATTGATTCGGCGACTACCTTGCAAGGCGAGGCTGAGCCGGTGACTGTCATACAAGGGCCTCAGATGGTAAACATCAGGCCTAAGAAGTTCGACTGGAGAAAGGGTCAGAAGGTCGCCAAAGGCGTCACGAAAGGTCTGAAAGGTGCTTTCTCCTCGACACAGCAGAGCTATAGTAGAGACCTGCAGTTTGCGGAAACGGGAGCCTATGGAGCGACAGCTACCCTTGGTCAGGAGTACTCGAACTTGCCAAAGAACAATCCAGAGCCACTCAAGCAGAGTGGTTTCGGCTTCTTCAGCAGCCAGAAGACAGCCCCACGACAGAATGGGCTCTATGCGCAACAGGCCAACGCCAGTACACCGTCTTTGTTGGCCGACGCTGGTGCACGTAAGTATCCTCGCGCTTCAATGGTGGTGGTTCTGCTAACCCAAGTGACAGAATTATTTGGATCTGAACTTGAGCAACGCGCCGAGTTTGAGAAGACCACCATTCCAGCGATTGTGAAGCGATGCGTCGAAGAGGTGGAGTCCAGGGGTAAGTTCCCGGAAAGTCTCCCATGCTTCCGGACACGGCTAACGGTTCCTAGGCATGGATGTCGAAGGCATCTATCGCAAGTCTGGTGGCAATTCACAAGTTCAACAGGTCAAAGACTGGTTTGAGAACCCCACAAAGGACTTCGACATATCTGACCCGGACCTGGACATTCACGCCGTTACTTCTGGACTGAAGCAGTATTTCCGACGACTCCCGACTCCACTCATCACCTACGAAGTGTATGACAAGTTGCTTGACACCACGGCCGTTGAAGACAAGGGATCACGGGTTGAGGCCATGCAACGGGCTCTGGACGATTTACCTCGAGTACACTACGAGACTTTGGAATATCTGATCGGACATCTTGCACGGGTGGTGTTGCAAGAGAAAGAGAACCTCATGACGAGCATGAACATTGCCGTGGTGTTTGCGCCGACGATCATGCGGCCTGAGAGCGTTAATCGCGAGCTCAGCGACACCAAGATGAAGAACGAAGCCGTGATGTGGCTGGTCGAGAATAATGACAGAATATTTGGCAGGTGAAGACAGGTTGGGAGCATTGAATAGGAATCTTTGGATTGGGCTGACCTGCATGGCGTCGGAAGCGAGGGTTTTCTGGCCGCCAATTCATGATCAACGACACTTGTTTGGAGTGTATCGAGCCATTTCAGCCTGGCGTCCCTTCGGAGGAGTGAGTTTTGTGAGATTAACGGCAGACTATCACTTGGGCTTGCGATGGTCTGTCTGGGATTGGCACGAATTGGGGCAGGCCCTTGTGCAGCGCTGCTGTCTCTGTCATTTTGAAAGAGGTTCTCAGAGAATGAGGCGCGGAAAAGCGAGGAAAGGACTGAGAACCCAAGGCCACAGATGTCAGGCCGTGGTGATCTAGTGACCATGGTTGGAAAGTAGATACCGTAATTGAAGAATGGAAGACGACTTGAAGATGCTCGCATAAACACCTGGTACTGTACTAATTGGTGGGTGCCGCAGTGCCTTGCGATTGGTGCTTAGAAGGCCCCTAAGCGGAGACGCCCAGCTTCACCACGCTTCACCAGTGGCCGGTAAGATGCGCGCCCGCGCCGCGGCGCCAGGCACTCCACTGGCTGCTTAGGCTCGCCCACGATGCGCAGTCCAGCAAGGCCTCACTTTCGCTACACAGTCCATACACTACCACACGTCTGGATGAGGACACTGCGCTCCGGCCGCAGTCACACCCTCGCACAACGACACACCATCATGAGTCCGCAGCCTTGTCTCCGCATGCTGTGCTGCCATGAGTGATTCAGTGCCCGCTGTCCCTATCGTTATCCGCCAGGAGATGATGCTGTCGTCCTCACTCCCTCCCCACGATGAATCAGCAACCCATGTACGGCGGGCCTCGACAGGCGACGCCTCTCACGAACGGCGCTCAACCTCGCCAGAATGGCAGGCCGGGGGAGCAGCAAGAGAGCAATCAGTCCCGTGCCGCTCGGTTTGAAGATGAGAAGCAGCGCATCATTGAGGCATGCTTCAGCAAACGAGATCCCGAAGGAATGCAACTAGAGTCGTATATCACCCACGTCAGAGTCCTCGAAGACGCCTCGTACCCGTCCTCACCCCCTCCGCCCGACTCTCCTCCCTCGAACAAGAAGCACCGGGTCATCCTCGTTGCAGTCCGCCGTTCCGGCAAGGTGAGAGTTCACAAGGCCCGCGAGAATCCCAACGGCTCTTTCTCCATCGGCAAGACATGGAACCTCGACGAATTGACCGCCATCATCTCGTATTCTTCCCTCGTGCCAGCGAATCCCCAGCAGCAGATGGAGAAGCAGTGGGCGTCGAACACCGGCTTCACCGTCTCCCTGGGCAAGCCATATTTCTGGGCTGCGGCGACCGCGAAAGAGAAGGACTTCTTTATTGCCAGCCTCATCAAGATATACCGGAAGTACACTGGTGGGAAGCTCCCAGAGCTTATAGGATTCGCTCCCCAGGAAGTCCAGCAGCTCGCTGGAGTGCCCCCGGGCCAGAACACTCCTACAACCGCGACCGCGTTCTCTCCTATCATCCCAAATCCAACTCCTCCGCCTCCCGGTCAACAGCGTTTCTCTCCACCTCCTGTAGTACCTGCGTTCAATAACAATCGACCACAATCTCCATATGCGGCAGCCCAGCCACCTCCGAGCCGGGATGGCCCTCGAATCGATCCCCAAGAACAGCGTCAGGCCTTTGGCCGCCAGGAATTCCGTCCACCCACGAGAGAACAAGCTCGGCCGCCTTCGTCGCATGTGGAGGAACGAGAAAGGGGGGTAGGCCTGCCACCGAGACCAATTCGAAGAGTTCCTCCGCCAGACGAATCTCGCAACCAGCCTTATGCCGCTCGTCTTACCCAAGAAGATGCTCGGAAGCCATCGTTGGCGGATACCCTACAGCCGGCGCCGCTTCGGCCGTCTCTCAGTCCGAAGGCTTCCCAATCATCGCTTGAGCGCGTCGAACCTTCTCTTGAACCGCAACCTCTGAGACCGAATGGCCTTGGAGTCACAACGGCTGGCAACCGGGATTTCTCACCAAGAAGAGCTGGGCCGACACCTGGTCAAGATCTGCCGCGGGATGGTGGGCGGAACGAACAGTACGGCGGCTCGAGACCGAGCACAGCGACGAGTGATCGCAGGACTCCAGACCCTCCTCCGAGCCTACCGCCGATCCTGCCCGGCCATCCTGCACTTGAGTCCGAGCTATTTTCGGAGCAGAAGAAGGCAACGGCACCACCAGCACGTGCAGACTTGAAGCCTGAACAACCAGGCCCTGCAAGCCAGAGTCACAGTGCCTTTGTGACACCACAAGGGACTCCAGGCGCCACCAAAGATGAAGAGCAGCAGCGGAAACCGGATTACTTTGCAAACGAGAAGCCTGAGGTCCAAGGAAAGCAGTCGCAAGCAAACGTGTCTGTACCACCACCGATTCCAGTATATGCTCAAGTGACGACGCCAGAACCTGAAGCTCTTCAATCTGCAAACGAGCCTGCGTCGCCAGAGTCCGTTAATCCCCCAGCTCCGCCAAAGACCGAGGAAGAGTTTCGTCCCGGCCTCGGACCCATGGTCAAGAAGAAATCCGGCAAGGACATCGCCAACCAATTCAGGAAAGCCGCCTTGGCAGCTGCCGCATTTCAGCCTCGCCAGGGTGGTGCTGGTGCGCGTTTAAAAGCAATGCAGGACAAGCTCTCGAATGAACCCGACGGGGTCACCAGCGTGGTTCCAGCCCCGCTGAAAAGAGGAATGAGTGGCGACAGCGCGCGAAGCGGAACTCCTGACATCGCCACCCCTGATAAAGAGAAAGATCAACCCGCTCCCAAACTCCCGCCTAAAGACGCCGTGCCGCAAGTACACATTGAACGGACAGCTACCTCAGACAGCCTGCCTCGAACAGGGACTCCAGCAGCGAAACCGATTCCTGCTGAAGCTGATGGAGAAAACGAGGAGACAAAGACAGAATCTCCCGAGGAAATCCGCTCAGCCTCGCCTCAGAAAAGGCGTAGGCAACGGCTCGAAGCGGAAGTCGAAAAGCACTGTACAGGACTCGGCATCGACCCGCGTCTTACCGACGGTGAGGGAGCAGATCTTGACGAACTCATGACACAACTCGGCTGGGAGGGAAAGCTTGCGGAAGATGACTACGTCGACAAGTATGAGACCGACATCCACAGGGAGATAGGGCGCGCTCAAGCAAGTGGCTGGCTGGGGCATGTCGAACAACAAGAGAGCAAGGTACTCGAACTTGCTACGGCGTTCGACAAAGCTATTGCAGAGTGCGAAGAGCTTGACGGGCTCTTGACGCTGTATGCGCACGAGTTGGACACTCTCCACGAGGACATTGAATACATCGAAGCTCAAGGACAAGGTCTGCAAGTCCAGACGGCCAACCAGAAGTTGTTGCAGGCTTCGTTGAACACTTTATTGAAGACACTGTCCATATCTCCGTCAGATCTACGAGCACTGCAATCAGCACCCATTGACAGCTATGACGGTGTCACGGCGATTGAAGGTGCTTTAGCACTTCTCTACGATGCGATGATGACAATTGACCCGGAGCTCGGCCAGAACAAGCTAAAGCGAGCTGCCTCGACTGCCAACCGCCTTGGACTGGGCAAGGATCCCGAAGCGAGGATTGACAAAATGCGCGCCGTCCGCGAGAAGAAGGACGAATACAAAGATGGAAGCATGATGTTCGTCAATCGCATCAACCAGCACATGAAGATGATGTTCTCGCTCGTCGAACAAAGGACAAGCGAAGAGAATGCGAGCGCGAGTGTCTCTTCCGGCACCTCATCCTTCACACTGAACCTGCGGGCGTACAATGCGTCGAGACAAGAACTCTGGGTGTACAATGCCATGATGCTTTTCGTGCGAGAAGTCAACCAGTATGAGTGGCAGGTGTTGATCAGTAGCTACGAGCGCAACTTCAACAGCATTTATCAAGAGCAGTTCCGTGACTTTGCAGAAAACCTGAAGAGGACGGTCAGGCAGCCAACGGGCGAGGAGCAGGAGCTACTGTTCACTCACCAGGAGAGAGAAAGATCCGATGAGTCCAATCTCTCGACGGCAGCCCGCAAGCTTACAGTCAAAGGACGTAAGCCGGTCAAAGCCAGCACACTGAGACAGTCGTTCGGTGGGGACAGGAGGGATGGCAAGCCCGACGCGTGGGCTATCTTCGACACCGTCCTCGAACAGCAAGCTCTTGCAATCTCGGAGGAGCAGAATTTCATTGTGCACTTCTTCCACTTGAACTCGCAAGCCGCCGAAGATTTTGTCGAAGTGATCAGGTCTCAACCTCCGGAGCAGCGCAAGCTTCCCAACCTACAAGCCAAACTTCCCTACGATCCAGATCGCAACATGGCCAAAATCGTCCAGAACACGACTGATGGGATCTACTCATTCTGGCCTTCACTGTTGCAAGGCCTCATGGAATGGGTCGTTCGCCTCGATTCAATGCAAGGCGTGGGCGTCCTCGTGTCCCTGGAACAGTGTCTTTCCAAATACGAAGAAACCAACCAGGAGTTCATCGCGAGGACGGTACGAACGCTTCATGACCGAATCACCGGTCTCTTCCATAAATTCGTCGAAGAGCAAGTACGGGCCATCGAGGAAACGAAGGTCAAGGTCAAGAAGCGGAAGGGACTGATCAGTTTCATGCGCGTGTTCCCCGAGTTTGTGGCCGCGGTTGAGGAAATGATCCCCCCGCAGTCTGAGCACCAGGACTCGCTCGAGGTGCGCTTTATCGTCAACGACGCGTACAAAAAGATCCTCAAAGCCATGTGGGAATCCCTCAATTTTATTGCCAAAGATAATCCCGCGGCGAATTCTGGCGGGCAAACAAACTCCAACGCTCCATCATCCGGCGACCCAGAGGACAAAGAAGCACTAAACTACCACATCCTGCTCATTGAGAACATGGCCTTTTTTGCGGAAACGATCTCCACACATAACAATGTGGTCCTCGAGGAGTGGGTTGAAAAGGCCGGACGGGATCAACTTTCCCACCTGACGCAGTACACGGACGCGGTGATAAGACGGCCGTTGGGCAAATGGTTGGATTTCTTGGAGTCGACCGAAGCACTCATGAACAAGGGCGACGGCTCGAACGTGGCCATCATTGCGAAAATGCCGTCCCACTCAAGGAGTACGGCGAAGAAGATCCTCGGAAACCACGACGCAAGGGAAATCAGAAAGGGCGCGGAGCTGCTTCGGAAGAGGGTGGAGAAGCATTTTGCGGCAGATGACGGGGATGTTGTGGGCGGCGGCGGCGGCGGAAACAGGAGGGCACTCGTGGAGAGGGTACTCGACGAGTGTAGTGTCAGGTATGCCCACGCGTGGGATCGCATGAAGGTCATCATCGAGAAAGTCTACGAAGGAAATCTGGAGATGGACTGGCGAAAGGACGACGTGCAGGCTCTGTTCAAGCGGTGAGCAGCAGCACCAGTCAGGAAGCTGTCACGCAGTACTATTTGACCCCTCTTTGGGATATACACGGCGCCTCGAAGCGAGCACACACGGACCCAAAAGGATCTGTTACGTGTCTTGTCTTCTCTGATGTGAATCAGTGCAGTGCAATGCAATGCAATGGATGGGCGATGGACGCAACGCAATGTCTGTCTGTAATTACCTACCTATGTGTGTGAGTGTGTGTATGTATGCATGTATGGCGACGAGCGATGGAGTTTTACGGGCTGGCTAGGTACATAGTGTCCTCGTCGAAGTCGGAGTAAGTGTGTACTGTGAGGTGGGTATAAGTCCACAGTCTACAGTCCTCAGTCCCGAGTACGTACGGAGTATATGCACCGAGTCTTATGACGCAGTGATGACAGGCTCGTGGTACACCATACTTGTACATACTCGATGCCGCCCCGTCCACACCCACCACCACCACCACCACCACCGCCGCCGCCGCCGCATGTTATCGTACAGGACTCCGTACGACTACCGGAATCGCATTCGATCTTGCGGCTGCTCTCAATGAGCTGTGGAGGCTTTGACCAGGAGTTGACTGGACTGGTCTGCACCGGTTTGGTCACGCCTCGCCTCGCCTCGCCTCGCCCCGCCTCGCCTCTCCTGGCCTGGCCTGGCCTGGCCTTGCGTAGACTACTGTATTTGACCAGTATTGGTGAGCATACTCCGTACATCTACTGTAATTCTCATCTACTGTCATTATCATCTGGCAGTCGATTTCGTTTTATATATAGACCGTGCTGCGCGCGTGAAGTCGAGGAGAGGGAGCGCACAATTACAGTAGACAGAATCATGCCGGGGTGAGAAGACTACAGTAAGTTTTTCTCTTTCTTTCTCTTCCATTCCGCCCCCTGCGAGGCCGGGCCTTGAATTAGATGGTGGAATAAAAAACTGTACCATGTACATTACATTACATCACATTACATTGCTCAGTACCAGCTTGACGCCCAAGCGCTAGTGAAGATCCCTAGGTCCCCTGCCCTACTCCGTACCCTATCCTTTCCTGCGCGACTTGGCAGTATTCGTGCTTGTACGAGTATCGTGTGAAGGGGGAGATCGGTGCCCACTCTCCATCGTGCACCTCTCTGATCAGACCAAGGTCGTGACTCCACCGCAGATCGACGAGGTGCGACCCGCGTGGATCTGCATGAGGCAGGCTGAGCGCTGGAGGAAGCGACAAGGATATGTGGCTGGCTGGTTGGAAGCGGTATTTTCTGTGCTGAAATCTGCAAAGTACGGAGAAACTGCTTGGCGACTTGTACCGATCTTCTGCTGGATCTGGTTGTCAAACTTATGCACCTGTCGGCAGGACGATTCGATCTATTCCTCGAATTCACTTGACTTTGCCAAAATTAGCAATGGCCTTCTGCTCGGAATAGCGATCCCGATTGCCGGCTGCGGCATGAAAAGGCAGAGGCTGGGTTTGGAAAGCTGCTGTACTGGTGAACCATAATAGCCTTTGGATGATATGACGGGAGTGAATAGGAAATCCGAATAGAACTTGCTTGAGGACCTGGGTTTAGAACACAATAGTGCAGAATTTGAATAGGGTGATACGGCAGTCAGTAGAGTTTGGCCATCGGAGTCGCGACGTTGCGCGATCGGTTCCTCACTCAGTACGGAGAATTTAGAAGCCCTTGATGGATAGCCCGCTCGAGTGAACTTTCGGGTCACGCATCCCAGCCTCCGTACCTCGTATGGAATCATCCCAACGGACCCGCGTCGTCGAACCGCCATGTCCGTAGGCGAGTTTGTTTGGTTCAGCGCATGCGAGATCGGTCTGGGTCCCTGCAGAGGAAGTACTTGTAGGAGAAACGTGGTCATGTCGTGCGCCCTGAGAGCTTCAACCATATTTATTTGCGGGGCCATCAGCATTTATGCTTCGTTGTCGTGCTGGACGTGCTCAACCGGGCTGATTCCCATTCGTCTGGTCTCTCATAGAGCACTGTCTTGGTCGTGCTTGGAGATCTCCCACTCTTCTTGGCTTAGACGTTGCAATTGGGTTCCGCGCTAATTAGGAGAAAGTGGTCCTCGAGGTGATCTGTGACGATGGTAGTAATATGCCTGCACACGCACCCATCAAGCGTGGATACGGAGTACGGAGGACTCGTAGGTCTTGCTGGACATGGTACGTGCTTCGTTGCAGCTGCCTTGCGCGCCTTGGCGTGATTGCAGATCATCCTCTGCTCCCGCTTGAGAAGTGTAGAGGATTCTGACACGCGTGGAGGGACAGGGGGGTTTCATCCTTTAACGAAGCTGAATTCACGGTGAGCCAGTAGCACCCCTGTATCAGCTCTGCGGCACAAGGACCTGTCGGTGAGTGGCAGCGGGATTTGCCAGACTGTTGGCTGAGCTGTAAGTTTCATGGAAGTAGCAGGTTGAGAGCCGAACGTCGGAGGCATCGATCCTCAGCGCCACTCAGGCGGCATGTCGAACCGGGCGAAGCAACGAAGCTGCACGCCTGGAACACGCATACCTAGATTGTGCGCTCATTACATTAACTTTCGTCAAGAGCGGTTTGGACCAGCCGAAGCGGAGCAAGTGAGCGAGCGTTGAGCAGCCAAACTTTGGGCCGTGGGCTGCGGCTTGGCTGAGCCCGTCGAAGGGGCCGTCGACGTTTTGGGTTGCGAGTGAAAGAAATGTGGAAAGGCTTCCGGCTCGCCTCCGCCGCGCTCAACGGCACTGTAACTTTTTGAACCATCCACCGCAACTCGCCTGGCGAGGGAGGCGCATGCCATGTAATGATATTTACTCTTCTTGCACGACGCCAGCGGGTTCTGGCGCTGCTGTATATCGATATCCATCGTCTCTACTGAAATCATCGTCGACATTCTTTCCTGTTATCTCCTCCTGCTCCGTGCGTGTATGCAGCCAGTCCACTGTCTATGCTTCTGATCCCGCCCTTGCTCGACGAACGTCCACGCTCGACGCACATCTCGCCCTGTGCTTGTCTGGAATACCTGCACAGGTGACCAGCGCCGCGGCCACGCCCTCGCCTGGAAGACTGACCGCTGAGCAAACAGTCCTCGCCGTGGCCCCGATCACCGCCCGAACGGTCGATCGACGTGCCAATGATTCCTGCAATACAACGTCGCCAACATCAGAGGGAACCACCAGGAGGGACCAGAAGAATTGGGTGCTGGCGGCACGGGATAATATCGAGGCCGCTGGGGCTCGTGGATCGGCAGCAAATCGCTCCAAGGTGTCGACCTTGACGGCGTCCCCACAGAAAGAGGTTAAGGCATCGGGTAACAAGAGAGTGGCCCGACAGAGCGCAGCATCATAATTGCCGCAGGAAAAGACACACGATACCCGAATACACAGATTTCCCGGCGTGAGGGTCGAGGACCGGGGCTTATCACTCGTTCCTCATCCGACCTTCACTTCCACTTCACCATCCGGCCGTTCAACTGAGACCGAGGCCGTCGCCGTCATATCCTGTTCCAGACCAGATACCAACGGCTCTGCACCACGAAAACAACGAGGACGGTGTTCGCGCCAGAGAAGACTGTCTCGGTTCAAAGAATTAGTGGTTGCCCAGGGGACTTCGAATTGCTGTTCCCCTTGTTTCCGACATTCCTGCCAGTGACGGGCTGGTCATCATCCACTTCTCAACTTCAACCCCTTCGAAACCTCTTCTCAGCACCTTCGTTTGTCGTCAATCGTTGCTTCAGGTAAGCCCAGCATCCAATTATTGTGACTGTTTTTGAGCTATGGGCTTTTGCACGAGGATGTACGTTACAATAGTGGTTGGGCCAACGGTATCGGGGCTCGTGGTGCAACAGCGCCATGACGCGCACTGACCTGGCACTGATCCCTTGCGGACCAGGGTGTTCTTCAACGCTTCGACGTGCGCCCTTCGTTGTTGTTTCTTCATCGTTCTATCACTGACAGGCGCAACCATGCAGTCCACAAGCCTCCGCTCCGGCTTCAGGGGCTTCCCCGTATCTCAGCGCGCAGCGGTCTATCAGCGATCCCAGGCTCTGCGATTGCCTACACCCGCACCGATCAGAGCAGGGATGGACATCAACAACGTACTGGACCCGGAAAAGCGCGCCGCCAGAAACGACGAACTACGACGATATCACCAGACCTTGCAAATGAACAACGGGTCAGGCTATGGCATGAGCCAAGACTCGACCTTCCCCAACCATCAGCAATCAATCCATCAGCCTGCTGGCATGCCCTACAATATGATGGCCCCTCATCAACACAGCCCACAACTCTATGCCCCTAGCTACATGGCTAGACATGACAGTCAGAGCTCGTTCACCGACGAGAACTATGGACATGCTCAGCCGAAGAAGCAACCGGCTACGAAGCAATTCCCCTGTAGTTTCGCCGACTGTAGAAAGAACTTTGCGAGGCGGAGTGATCTGTCGAGACATGGTACGCAGTTCTTTCCTCAGGGATTAAAGACCACAAGTTGACTTCAGCAGAACGCATCCACACTGGCGTTCGGCCTCATTCATGCGACTGGGAGTCTTGTAACAAATCGTTTATCCAAAGATCTGCCCTCACAGTCCATATGAGGGTTCATACGGGCGAAAAGCCACATCTGTGCAGTCATTGTTCAAAGGTGGGTTTACCTCTTGCTCGATACCGTCCATCTGCACCTCCGACACTCCGGAGCCGCTGCGCTCAGGTGCTCTGCATTCCTCGTTGACGCTAAAAACACTGCTGCATGTCCAATTCCGATACTGACCAGCATATAGCCCTTCTCTGACTCAAGTTCCCTCGCACGGCACAGACGAATCCATTCGGGTAGACGCCCTTACAAGTGCGAATATGCAAATTGCCAAAAGACCTTCACGAGACGGACAACTCTGACGAGACATCAATCTCATCACGTTGGCATGACTCTGGAGCAGGCCCAAGCGCAGGTTACCGCGGCTTTAACGCCTACTACGCTTCACGACTCCCCCCAGTATTTGTCTCCGTCGGAAAGCCCTCCAGGCTACCCAATTCAAGTCCCAAAACCAGAACCGGCTTCACCTCATCCTGGACTGCCGCCCATGGTCCCTGGCATGCAACGTCAAAACTCAGACTACGGATATCCTCCTCAGCATTTGCCTCTGCCCGCTCACTTGCGGGCTGACTTCCAGCAGAACGCGGGTCGGACAAGCAGCCCGCTGAATAGTCAACCTCTTCACAACTACACGAGTGCACCGCAACCACAGAGGTCTAGCACATCCTATCCGACGGCATACGGGCCGCCTCAACCAATGGAGCCTCCAGCTAACGGCACAGCCAGCGGGGGTGCCTCTCCACACCTAGGAGCGTGGACATCGCCTAATCCCGGTACCCTACCACCACCGTTTGCCGTGGACAGTTCCGCTTATCAAGAATCTGGTTTTGGTGGTCACCAGGTCGGCTTGCCCCAGCTGGGTAATCATCAGCTGGGCAACCATCAGCTAAACGGGCACCAACTCTACTTTCATCCTGTGAACGGGATGGGAAGACCTCAGAGCACCGAACCCAAAGACTATGGTCTTCAACAACACCAAACTCATATGCCGTCCTCGTTGCCGCTCAGTCATGACTGGCACCCAGATACAATGGATACTCAGCATCCTCGGCAGGGAAGTTATGGCACGTGGCGCCATAACGTCACTGGTCGGCCTCCAAACGGCGTCACTGACCACTGAGACAATATCCACCCCTTTGATATGGCAGAGCATCTCGTATAAATGTGGATTCGCAGCAGGATGGGAACCACTCTGAAGGTGTCCACGTCAACAAACAGAAACATCATGACTGTTATCAACATTTCAGCAACACAGAACAACAGCAAACAGAAGATCAATAATGCTCAAGAACCAAGAACCACCATCGACGCGTCGACCGCACTGTCACATACCTCAGCATCCTACTCAACCTTAAGTCTGCCTGGGCGACTTGAAGGCTTTTCTTCTAACTCATGTATGAAAATAATTTGACTACGCCCAGTTTTTCCGGGATGGACAGGCTTTGGGCTTGAGGAGAATCTATTAATATGGTTCTAAGCAGCGAGGAGTCTGGCGAAGTCGGTTTGTCAAGGTCGGACCAACAGTGGTCGGAAATCTGCCAATCTCACGCAAGGCACAATACTTGCTGATGCGCGGAGGCCATCGCAATGGGCTGCCGCAGCATGAGTCTGAACGCAGCACTGGAATGGAAAGGAGTTGGCGGTGGGGCGGGTAATATGAGGCGCTTTCTTTGCACACAGCGTTACTACGGAGTTTCTTAAAGAATGTTATTGGGGCAGGTCTACTGATGCGGACACTGTTAGTTTCCCCGTGTCTGACGACTGCGGTCAGAATACAGTAGTTCGTGCTTTATTGGCATTATCTACTTGCCAAAAGTCGAAACAGACCTGTCTTGGGCTCTCGAGCCCTTCTTACCGATGTAATATGCTTCAGTGACTACCCAGGTAGACTAACCCGAAGTCTGCTCAGAGCCCCGAATGTAAACATCCAGAAGCACCACAGACATGACTCAAGACTGACTACATGCTGTTCACTGCTGCTGTCAATCACTATCTGAAGTTTTCGGTCAAGCGGCAGCCTCGTCCCAGTAAATACTCAGGATATCTTTTCAACGGGTGTCGCCTTCCAGGTGCCTGACTCCGAAGCACGGGCTGCAGACTCGAGTCCTTGGGATCCAAAAACTCATTGCAGAGAAAGGGAGCAAATAGTAGTCCAATGATGGTTGAGCCGAAGTCAAGGCCGATCGACTTCAGCCTGCGTTCCAAAAAGGGAGACTAATAGACCAGGCAGAAGACATCCAGTAGAAAGACCCAATTTCCAGAGAAGTTCGGGATAACTTACAGTATCTCAGGAGGAGGGTGAGATGAATCCGTCCCAACGCATCGCGCCAACAAGTCGGTACCTCGCGTATGCACAGACACGGATACCGTCCGCCAAACTCCATCTCAAGCTTCTCCCTGCAGGCTTGTCGAGTCAGTGGCTCACCGGATTTGTTCCCATCCTCCTTCCATCTGGAGAAATAGACTACTGTAGCTGCAGCCCCCGGGGCGTTGGTGCAGGTGGAGGCATGTGGTTGCCTTCGGTGTAGCGAGCTCGCTCGGTCGAGAGAGAACGAATGACCGAGAATGCTTCGGCCTGATGAGGAGCTGATAAAGATGGAGGAATCCCGTATTCTTCTTTGAGAAGCATCTTGCATGACCACATACATCTTCAGGGGTCTGCGGTCGGCATCGATCTCTTTTCCTGCTACGGACTACGTAGGTACCCAACTCTGTCCGAAACCAAAGAGTCGCAGCGAGGGACAAGCAACGGCAAGCACGTTCGGGAGCCCAACAAAGTGTCCAGCCCGCCGGAAGCGATTCCGTGCTGATTGATAAGATAATCAGGCCAGTCGGATGCTGCACGACTCCCGCCCATCCAATACTGTAATTCCCCGAGCCGTGCGTGCGGTCATCGAGCCCCAAAAAAAACGCAATCACGGGATAAAAAGTGCGGTACCCGTCGAGCCCGTCTTCCCCAGAAAATGCCTTCGCTCAAAGACAAATCCTTCCCTACGTCGAGGAACCCTCAGAGGTCCAAAATGTCGCTCCTCCGGCGTGTCACAACATTTTTGACGCCTACACAATCGTCGGCAAATTTGAACGCCGGGTTCAGCACCGCAAAGACCGAGGCCGATTTGTTTCCACCCACGGACCCTGCCATAGACGGCGAACAATGTCTCCACGATTGCTCGTCGTGTACCGTCCACTACCCTGCGAAGTTCTCGATCGACGAGGATGACCGGCTGTTTGGTCATGTCAAGGGCTTCAACGTCCATCTTCTGGTCGGCACGGGCAAGACGGACTGGGTGAGGGACGTCACCGATGAGAAACATTCCGTCATGCAAGCCGTGGGGAAGGTGGGACTCGAGATGAGTGGGAAGAGGGGCAAGGTCATGCTGAGTGCCAGTAACTTCCCCAGCGGAGAGGAGTGTCATGGACCCGGCGAAGAGGAGGGCACAGCTGACGTGATGCTCCTGCCGAGCTGGAAACTCATCGAAAAGGTGCCGCCTAGTAAAGCGGGCGCATTGATGAGGGAGGTGGTCGAGAGGAGTAGCACCAACGATACACCCGTCGGCGGAACGAGGCTGGAGTTGAACGGCACGCCCAACGGACATACGGAAGCGCCTACAGCGGAGCAAGAGCGGGTACAACAAGACGCAGAGCAAAGGCAGGAGGCTGAGAAGGAGCAAGAAGGAACACCTGACTTGTCAAGTTTGCACATTGGAGGGGGTACAGCACAGCCGCCACAGGGTACCTCTGAACAAGAGCTACACGAGTCGCAACCAGAGTCGACTCTCGACCCAGCACCAATCCCACCATCAATATCCACGTCATTCAAGACCCGACCGATCCCTCATTCCTATCTCATCCTCATGTGCAGTCAAAAGACCCGTGACGCCCGCTGTGGCCAGTCCGCCCCTCTTCTGCGAAAAGAGTTCGAGCGCATCCTGCGACCCTTGGGTTTATACCGCGACGTCCACGACGACAGGCCTGGTGGTGTGGGCATATACTTCATCAGCCATGTTGGTGGCCATAAATATTCCGCGAATGTCATGATTTATCGGAGGCAGGGCCAGAAGAGAGACGGCAAGGACGCTGATGGACAGAAGTTGGAAGACGAGGCGGTCCAATTGATATGGCTGGCTAGAGTGCGGCCGGAGGATTGTGAGAATATCGTGAGGTACACTGTCTTGCAAGGCAAGGTCGTGAAACCGAAGAGCCAGCTCAGAGGAGGTTTCGACAGAGAGAAGGGAGTGGCGAGTTGGTAGACGCTCCCTCGAGGAAGACGCGGCATGGGAGAATCGCCACAGCCAGCAATTGGCACAAGCATTTTATAACACGACTATAGAAAAACATAATAATCGCGTGGGTTGACACCTGACCTGGCCTATCTCTCATGGTGTCTATGTCTCGTCAGCGATGCTTTCCAATCCCAACAAGAGTATCTTCATAGAAGGTTTGGAAAAAAGGAGTTCAGAGGTATGTCTGTAGACGATAGTCTTGGTTTTGCCCAATGATCATGCCTCGACGAGGCGCGTACACCAAGCTTGGGAATAAGACGTCTCCCCCCAACCTCAGGCCGCCGAGCTATCAAAGTCCCCGTTAGGAAGCCGCCAAGATCGCGAAGACCTCAAAGCAAACGACGTCTCAAGGACCGAGCTCGAGCGGACTGGCCCACAGCAGGGCGAAAGGTCGAGAAAGGGTTGCTCTCAGTTCTGTCGACCGGGAAATAAACATTATGGAGGGGTTTGCAATGTGCTCCGCGCAGAGAGTCGAGTCGTCACGAACGTTCGACCTCGCACTGTCCTTACGAGGGTAAGGACAGGGAGGGATCGTTCGCGACCCAGAACTGTGGTTGGAAGAAGAAGAAGAAGAAAGGAAAAGAAGAAGGCAAGAGGCAGGCGAAAGGCTTGGGGAAAGAAAATCTATGCCAAGATTTCGGGCTGAGGAAGTTTATCCGAAGCAAAGTCCGTGAGTCTCTAGCGCGGGCTGCGCGGGCCTTTCCATCTGCGCAGGTCGGTCGCCTTTCTGTCACTACACAGTAGGCATCTCTCGCTAGTCGACACGGTACTGTGCGCAATTTCTCAAGTTACCCTCCCCTCCGTGCCTCTCTCCAAAAGACAGTCATCCGTCTTCCATCACCATGGCTTCCGCGGCAGACATCGAGCAGATGAACAAGCTCAGGAAGAGCCTGGGCCTGCCGCTCTTAAACGTAAGTGGACAGCCTCCACAGTCGTCTGAAGGACCTACATTCAAAGAATCAAGAGCTGCCGCCGCCGACGACGACGATAGCGACCGAGATGGAGACGCCGAGCCTGCTTCGACCCTGGAAACCCGCGAGGCCGCGGGGTTCGAGAACTGGAACCAACTCCGCGAGGAGGAGAAGAAAAGAGCATTGAGAGAGCGGCGCAAGAAAGAGATACAACGACAGAGAGATCTTGAGTCGCGGAATCGACAGCTCGAGGGCAAGGGGTTAGGGGATGCTGGCGATGAAGACGATATCGATACCAAAGCTTGGTTGAAGGGCCAGAAGAAGCGGCAGTCGAAAATCGAAAAGGAGCGCGCCGAAAGACTGGCCAGGGAACTGGCGGAGCGGGAACGAGAGGCTGCCGTCGAGTATACGTCGAAGGACCTCGCGGGCGTGCAAGTGGCGCATGAGATTGGCGATTTCGACGAAGGATTTGGCGAGCAGATCCTCACGTTGAAGGATACCGAGATCGGAAAGGGCGATGACAGCGAGGACGGAGACGTCCTGGAGAACGCGGACATCGTGTCGCGGGACAAGCTGAAGGAGAAGCTCGATCTGAAAAAGAAGACCAAGACCGCCTACAATGTGCATGAAGACTCCGAGAAGGGACTATTGTCCCAGTATGATGACAAGAAGCGCAAGGCGTTTACTCTCGACGCCCAGGGGTCGACTGTCGAGGAACGCGAGGCCAAGCGGCAGCAGATCGGCGAGAAGCTCAAGAATACGATCAGCCTGGACATTTTGAAGGACGAGCCTGTCTCGGATTATCTGGAGCTCAAGATCAAAAAGCCAAAGAAGGAGAAAAAGAAGTCTAAACGCCAACGGCCTGTTGACGAGGATGAGGATGTTTTCCCTACAGCGCAGGGTGGGACCAACGGAGATGCCATGGACGTGGATTCTGCGGCCGCTGTGGCCCTGCCACGAGCGAGATCACGAACCGCAGAAGACAACTTGAACGACGATGACGATCTGGCCAGTGCGCTTGCTAGGACTCGGCAGGCTGTCTTGAGGAAACAGAAGCGAAGACCTGAAGATATTATCGCGCAGCTCAAACAAGAAGAAGATGAGCAACCTGTTGCGGACGGCGAAGGCGGTCTTGTGCTCGACGATACCACGGTATTTCTAGACAATTTGTCATCTCGTCCTAGGGAGGAGGAGCCGGAGCGAGGGGTCAAGACATCGGTCGAGCAGCACGATGCGCAAAGCCCGGGCCCTCGAGTCAAGCAGGAAGATGAAGACCATGCCATGGGCGAAGCATATGCTGGCGTCGAGGATGAACAAGAGCTCCTCAATCGGGTCAAGCGTGAGCGCTCGACGGTCACCCCAGAGGTGTCAGCCACGGGCCTCGACGAAGAGAAGTCACTGGACCAGGGTCTTGGCTCGGCTCTCAGCCTGCTCCGCCAACGTGGTATCTTGAAAGAGACGGATGCCGGCGACAAGAACAAGCTGTACAAAGATCGCCAGAAGTTTATCGTCGAAGCTCGTCTGCGCGAGCACGAGAATGAACAGAAGGCCCGCATGCAACGTGAGCGGGATCGCCAATCCGGCAAGTTGACGGGTTTGTCTGTCAAGGAACGAGAGGAACACGCCCGGTGGCAGAACACCCAACGAGAGCATCAGTCTTCCATTCAAGCTGCCGCCACTTTCAACAAAGAGTATAAGCCCGATGTGCAGATCAAGTACGTGGACGAGGATGGTCGGCTCATGAATCAGAAAGAAGCATTCAAGCATCTGAGTCATCAGTTCCACGGCAAAGGTAGCGGGAAGCTGAAGACCGAGAAACATATGAAGAAGATTGCCGAGGAGAAGAAGAGAGAGGCGGCAAGTATCTTGGATAGCAGTGAAGCTACCGGCATGAACAATGCTCAGGGCACGATCGGAAAGAAGAACAAGCAGGCTGGTATTAGATTGGGCTGAAAGAGGCCTGGATTTTAGCGGTACATGCACACGGAATATCAGCGACTCAATGACCCTGCGGTTCGTGCTTCGAACGTGTGGTACAGAGCATGTACTGGAGTCCTACTGAGTGCAATGCAGCGTTATTGTCGCACGGTGGCCATGTGCAACTGACGGGGGGGCGCAAGGCCCGTATGAGGAACAGTACCTAGGTAGTAAGTTTGCAGCCAGATCATTGGCAACTCGGGGGCTTTTGCGCCGGTTAAAAGCAAAGCTCCGTGGAGTAGGCGCTTTTATTGGCCCACACGCCTCTTAGCAGCTCTAGTGCCACCCCGTGCAGCCTCCCAGTGCGTCCCACGCCGGCGATGTCGGAGCCTGGAAGATTTGGAGCCCCGGCGAACCCCAATTCCAGGGACCAGAGTCAGGCAGGCTGAGGCAGGAGTGGCGGGAGTGGCAGGTCAGATTATTGTGAGAGCGCCATGACGGTAAATTAAAAATTTGGAGAACAGATCCGATCCATTTCTGATTGAAAGTGACCTTGACTCCGTACCTTGCCTGCGGACAACGGAGCTAGTTCTTTATCCTCCATCCATCTTCTCATCCCTTTCGAGGTCATTTACTGTGTTCACAGTAGACGGTACTGTTACTCTGTACTAAGTTTCATCTTCTTTTCAGCTTGCGAGGGAATCTCAAGTCTTGCCTGTACAACAGCAGCGAGCTTCTTCTTCGACTAGTCCTCCATCTTCTTGCTCGTTCTTCCAGGATAGACTTGATCTCGTTTCACACACACACACCCATACTCACCTTCGATCACAATGCTCTCCACCCTTCGACCAGCGGCGACGCGTGCTACCTTGCGGCAACAGACCGTCAACCCTCAAGTGGTACGCCTCGCCGCCGCGGCGTCGACATGGGCGAACGTCAAGGAAGGCCCTCCCGACGCCATCTTGGGCATCACCGAGGCTTTCAAGAAGGATAGCTTCAAAGAGAAGATTAACCTGGGTGTTGGCGCATACCGTGAGTGGTCCTGAATACATATCCTATCTTCAATATTTCCCACCAGGGAGGGACACAGGGCACACCGATGGCTGATACTTGCACTCGTCCAGGCGACGACAAGGGCAAGCCGTACGTCCTCCCCAGCGTCCGCACCGCCGAGCAAAAAGTCGTCAACTCGACGCTCGACAAGGAATACGCCGGCATCACGGGCGTCCCGTCGTTCACCAAGGCGGCCGCCCTCCTCGCGTACGGGCCGAACAGCAAACCTGTCGCCGAAGACCGCGTGGCCATCACCCAGTCCATCTCCGGCACCGGCGCGCTGAGGATAGGCGGCGCGTTCCTCCAGAGATGGTACCCCGGCAGCAAGACGATCTACATCCCCACGCCGTCGTGGGCGAACCACAAGGCCGTGTTCGCGGACTCGGGCCTCGAGGTCAAGCAGTACAAATACTACAACAAGGACACCATCGGGCTGGACTTTGACGGCATGATCGCCGACCTGAAGAGCTTCCCCGACGGGTCCATCGTCCTGCTGCACGCCTGCGCCCACAACCCCACGGGCATCGACCCCACGCAGGAACAATGGCAGCAGATCGCCCGCGTCATGAAGGACAAGAGCCACTACCCATTCTTCGACATGGCGTACCAGGGCTTCGCGTCGGGAGATACGGACAAGGACGCCTACGCGGTGCGACACTTCATCGAGCAAGGGTTCGGGCTGGTGCTGGCGCAGTCGTTTGCCAAGAACATGGGTCTCTACGGCGAGCGGGTCGGCGCGTTCAGCATCGTGTGCGACAGCGCCGAGGAGAAGAAACGCGTCGACAGCCAGATCAAGATCCTCGTCCGGCCGCTGTACTCGAACCCGCCCATCCACGGCGCGCGCATCGCCAGCGAGATCTTGAACAATGAGGCTCTCAACAAGCAGTGGCTGGGCGAGGTCAAGGGCATGGCTGATCGTATCATCGAGATGAGAGCGCTGTTGAAGAAGAACCTGGAGGACCTGGGCAGCAAGCATAACTGGAACCACATTACAGATCAGGTACGTTTTCCCTTTCCGGTCCCGTCCGGCAGCTCAACTCCTCTCGCTTGGAGTATGCTTGCTGCAAAGATTGTCACCTTGAAAGGGGGGCAAAGATAGAGGGGAGAGCGAAGGTTCTCATGCTGACGTATCTCTTTTCGCACCGTCTAGATCGGCATGTTCGCCTACACGGGTCTCAAGCCCGAACAGATGGACACCCTGGCCAAGGAACACTCCGTCTACGCCACCAAGGACGGCCGTATCTCCGTGGCAGGTATCACTTCGGACAATGTCAAGAGACTCGCCGAGGCCATCTACAAGGTGACCGGCTAGAGGAGGGGATCTTTGGACCGCGTCGTGCGCACTCCCAAAGCGGTCCCAGGGGCCTGGAGTCAAGAGTGATCGAAGGGGAGAAGGGAGATGGGGTACAGCAGTCGAATGACCTTCCAAGGTACTTCTGAAAAGGGGACCCTCCACGATGGGGACAGCGCTTGGAGACTTGACACTTGACAACTTCAATCATCTCGATGGCAACAATTGTGGCAAAGAACGGGGGAGGGAATTCTTCTCCTCTCTTGTCATCTGTGGCACTCTCCTGCTTCGGCCGCGCAAAACTATGTATCAACATGATATCCAAATAGACTGAATGGTTTGGTTTGGGTTGATTCGATTTCTTTCCAAAAATCTCCGCTCGAACGCCCATTTCCTCGTCCCAACGTCGCAGCCGTGCGCCAATCGATACTCCGATTGAGGTTCGCGAACACGGTGATCAGATCTACGATAGATTGAAGGTCGAGGATATGATATGATCGAGAGTGCAGCGAGGCATTACGGCTTTCATATCCCGCGTGGTAGCGTAGCGTGGCTGTGACATCAAGTACACTACTCGGTACTATCGATGGCGCTCCTCCAATCAAGCCTCGTCCTCGACATATATTGTCAACCCTTGCGTTGAACTTGACCCTGGCCACTTTGCAAGTCCCGACCGAAGGCCGACGAGGAGATTGTAGGCCTCGAACTAGTGGAAGGTGAGTGACTGAGTGACTAGCTGTTTGGAGTCATCACTGGTATCGTGTCCGCTCCTGGCAGAATGCGTGTCGAACACTCACTCGGTCAATGCACAATAGAGGGTCAATAAAGGGAATGATCAAGCACAAAAATGTGAGGTGAAGACCCCGCGATAATTGGATTATGCTTGCTCCGCCTCGGTTGTTCACGGGTCGATCACCGTGTCGTGTTGCCTTTGAGCGGTCATCATCCAATTATGGCAGTCCATGTTTAGAAGTAGTTCTCCGCCTTGACGGGGGTTGTTTGACTGCACGATTCGGCTCTCGATCGTGACGAAAAGGCCAAGCCTGTGTCAACGTGGCGGACGGGGCTGAAGCATCTCTCGCCATCGATCGTGAATGTTTTCTGTGTCAGCGGATCCGTCTGGCTGGGCTAGGGTAGAGACATCGTGGCACGTCCCAAAGACAGGTCGCCGAGTGGTATTTGTCACCCAAAATTGTCCAAAGAGGAATGCCATGTGAGCGAGTTGCTTTATTGGTAGAGGTAGCAGCCAATGACAGCGACCACGCTTCCAGAGACGTAATGCGCAGGTTGTTGACTCGTTGAACCCTATTTTGCGATCTGTGCTGGCACAAGGCTCGGAATAGATAACCGGACAGCCTGATGGTGGCATCCAGGATCGCCTCGAGTCTGAGCTCGATAAATGGAAGCCGGCTATCGAGATTTTGGAAGCACGACCATTGAGCCAGCCTTGCATTTAGCGTGTTCCGGTGGTTGTGGTAAACTCTCAAGTCATTGTACTCGGAGCAGTAAATACTGTAGGTATCGTACTGCTTGTGTGGAAAGGCGATCGGCTCCTTCTCCGCTTCTCGCGTCCCGGCGGCCATGTGGGCTGATGCATGAATAACGGGGTCACACTCTGCCGTTGCTCCGAGTATCTTGGTTGGATGCTGCCCTCGATACAACTCTCCTTTGGGAAGACCGTTGTTAGTCCCTGTACCGTCTGCTGAAGCCAGTTCACCCGGTCACAAGCTGACCAGGTGCCGGGGGTCTACCAAGGCCACGATGTTGGCGGTCCACTGCCGGTGGTCCCTCGCCCTGGGACGTGCGCTACCATTCTCAGGGCCCTTGATCATTTGACCTTTTGCTCGTATAGCTCCAAAACACTGCAGCACCGGACAAACTGCGTGATTGGAGTGCCGTAGCAGAGCATGTGCATTGCTACGGGTGGGGGATTTTGGACGCTGGTTTCCGAACAAATCTCAGGCCTTGGCCCTTGGGCATAACAGCCATCTGGGTTGGGTGGCGCAAAGCTAGGCCCTGATGCACTGGAGCCGAGTCGGCGTCACCTGCGAGTTGACATCATTGGCTCCCCGGTTGTGTCGCCTACCCATCTGGTAGGTAAGTACCCAGTACGGCGTAACTCTTCCTGCTGTTGCAGCGTGAGCGGCGGCGTGGGCTGCATACAGGGAGCCAACCAAGCCCGGCGCGGCGCTAAGCCGAACCGTGGGAGGTGCATCCTTCTCAGACTCTCTATATATTCGGCAGCGGCCTTTTGTTGCGCTGGGCCTGGCGACTCACGCTCTCCTCGTGCCTGTGCGACAATGACGGACCCTCGCTGCTGGTCGACGTCATCGTGCAGGGGGAATTCAGGCGAAAATTTGACGTCGACATAGCAGCGTAGCAACAACGCTGAGGCTGGGTCACCTGCAAAACGAGGGGCACCTCCCACAGACTCCTCCCACTCCTCTGGCGGCTAGTCGAAGGGCGATGTTCCCCATCGGAGCTCGATTGCAGACGACTCAGAAGTGGCCTGCGCATCGCCAGACAAACTGGGACTGCAGTCGCACAGGCATGCCGTCAGCTTTCCCGATTCATGCTGCGCTGGTGTCGATCTGCCGTATTCCTGGCTGGTAAGACCAGTGCCAGGACTGGATCTAGCGGTGCGGCTGTCGTGGTTTGAGCCTTTTCAGAGTCTAAAATATGCTCCTGCAGGAGAGGGCAGAAGGTCGTGGAAAGCATTCCACCTTCCACCTTCCGAAGCCCGGTAAGCGTTCGGTGCTTCAGGCAAGAAGTAAATTCATGGCCACGCAGGCACCTCCCCACGCGACGAGCCACCCGTCAGCTTACCGAGACCGAGATAGCAGCTGTCCACCGTATTCCGTGATAGATGTGTACACACAGTAGATTGTCGCCATCCGAATCGCGAGGGTCGCTGTCCCAACCCATCTGGTTCCCACCGGGGCAGAGTGGGTTGGACCACGGCGGCTCGTATGGTTCGCCTCTCCCTCCCTATCGGTGATGTGGCGGTCCCCAATTATCATAATCACTGCATTCTTTCTGGCGGAGTCGGACGAGTAGGATCGAAGCCCCCCTCAGCCTCGAGTGTCAGAGGTCACAAAGCCGCCAAGCAACCAAATCTTCCCCAGCTTAATCTCTTCCAGCTCGGTGTCAATCAGTGTGAAATCGTGTCTCTGCAACAAGCATCCGAGTATACGACGCGGTTGGCTTGCACACTGGATTGCATCCCGACTTCAGGGTCCGTCTTCTTCCTTCTTCTTCCATCCGTGTCTCTCACCGCGTCGAGTAGCGAGGTGTGATTGTGCTTGGCCCCCGCTTGACCCTCGCCGGTGGACGAATTCGTGGTTGATCTGCACTGCCGGACGGAGATCTTGGGCTCGGTTGCTCGCGAAACAGGACGCATATCGCCAGGTCAGTATCGCTGGAAGTAGCCGGTTCACCCGAGTTTCGCGCAGGGAACGGCGCCTGCGATACGTTAGCACCCTGTCTTGCATCAATTCGGGGGCGGCATAGGAGTAGGATTTTTTCTTTCTCGAAACACTGGCCCCGCCCTTGCGAAGCCCGACACCCAGATCTGTTCCTGATACTGTACCATTCGCAGGTCGAATCCTTCAGCCTCAACCACTGGTCGCGGATTGCCAAACGCCATCAGGTAAGCAGTTCTCTGTCCGACCCGTGCCTCCCAGCGACGAACGAGTCGATTGAGAGGGGCCCGTCTCGAGCCTTGAGTCAAGCTTGGGGATCAGCAGTCGACAACGACGTCGGATGTACGTCACTTCTCACTGGTGGAACACCCTCAAATTTCACCCGAATCAGTGCGGACGCTCTTGCTGGCGTTCGTAAACTGCCTCGCTCCTTCCCTCCCTCGTTGCCAGCTCTACTGTCCCGAGGCAGTGATCTTCTGCTGATTCCCAAACTATCCTCTGCCCGACCGTTTGCGGCCTGCCTCTTCCTTATCTTCTCTCCTGGGTCTGAGGTCGAGGTCGAGGTCGGTTGTCTTTTCTTGCACTTTCGGGGCCGTATCAGACAGTCGGGATGTTGGAAGCAAACGAAGTCAGTCTGGGGCCAGAGTGCTGACAATCTGGGTGCAGACAGATTGTGACCCTCCATCTACCTGCTGTCCTCATATCCGGCCCACCTCCCTCCTAAAGCCTGGTCTGGATACCAGGGACATCTGTAACAGTCACTGCCGGACCGTCGAGAAACAAAGGCGCGCTTCCCTTTTATCCACATCACCAACCTTCTTCAACTTCCAGTTTCGACACTCTTTGTGCAAACCGACGACGACCCCTGTTCCAATCCCTGTGTCCGTCACGACAATGTCCGACGAAGTAAGTCTCACAGCTCGTGGTTGCCGCGGCGATGTCTTCAACACCGTTGCTTCTGCCACGGACCACCGTCCCGCGCTCCTCTGCTCGCAGCTAATACTTTGCGCGAATCACAGTTAGATTTCGACTTTGGCGAAAATGTCGAGAAGAGTACCTTCGAACAGATCCTCGACATGGACGAAGAGGACGATCGCGACTTCAGCAAATCGATAGTCTTTGGCTTCCTGGAGCAGGCTGAACAGACCTTCGGCAAGATGGATGCAGCCATGTGAGTTTACACACTGTCGGTGCGAGAGGCGCAAATCTGCTGGCGGCCTGATGGTCTTGACCCCAACTGACTGACAATGTTCCACAGGGAGGAGAAGAACCTTCCGGAACTGTCGAGCTTAGGTCACTTCCTCAAAGGATCTTCTGCCACACTGGGCTTTACCAAGGTCAAGGATGAGTGCGAGAAAATCCAACACTACGGACACAAGAAGAACGCGACCGGCGAGGACGATGAGCCCGACGAGAAAAAGTGTCTCGAGATGATTGGCAAGAGCCTCGCGGAAGCCAAGAAAGCATACGGAGTTGTCAATGAACTCATGAAGCAGTTCTACGCGGATTCTTGACGACTTCTGTTGCACAAGTCGCCATTATCGACTAATTACGAGACGCATCATGGCATCAACACCGGAAAGGCAGACCTTAGCCTCCAGAGTCTAACGGTCGACGAGAGCACGTTACCACACGATATGAAGTCACTTGAGACCATCAGTGACAGATGAGATGAGCTGGCATGGAAATTCGAACAAAAGATTCAACGAGACCTTCCTTTCCTTCCCGCGTACAGCGCACCGTTGAGATCCGAGAGGTTGATGGAATCTTGCTTCTGCGTACCGACTCACCTGGTTTAAGGCATGACAATCAAGTTCATTCTGGTCGACAGGACAGGAGACTCTTCATCACTGGCAAACCTAGGGGTTAGGAATTTCATCTTCTCTCTACCATTGTCCATTCCAGACCTGTTGGTCTTTGTTTATACTTGGTGCTGCCTCTTCCCTTTCCAAGAGCGCAGTGAAGTCACATTCTTGTAGCCATCATTGCGGCGACCAACTCAATCAGTTGTGTCTTGTCCTGTGAGTTCCTGACCCCAACCCCGACATGGTGCCTCTGGATTTCCGCCCGCATCCTGCCCCGTCGCAAGGCTAAACTGCAACATGATAGATGCTGTGAGGCGTGAAGAAAGTAATTCGGTCTCGTGCAGACAATTCAGGAGCCAATGAGCGACTTTCTAAAGGGGAGAAGAACACGGGAACACAAAGAAAAAGGGCCGACACTGAAAGACGTGGCCGACTACTTTACCAGTACTCAACGCGCGCCTTCACTGCAGCGTTCGGGCAGCCACCGAGTCACCCACGTCTGATGCGCTAGATGTTCCATCTAATGACTAGCGAGGCAATAGTTACTCACTGCAACTCCGTACAAGTAAACTAGCTCGCTGGTTTCTTTTATGAGTGCACGTGACTTCGCGACTTGTACCGCCACGGCTGTGTACTGTACAATGTGTACTCCATGTCTGGCACTCCGTAAGGTTGTCCCTGCCTTCACGCATCTGGAGACTCGAGTAAACGGAGAAGTCAAGCCGCGTGGAATACCCTCGTTGCCACCAATACAAATCGAGCACCCGCAGCCGTCTTGTAGAGGTAGGATGGCATTGGGCAGCGCCATCAGCCGACATGTATGTCCAACCAGAAGAAACCAGCTCTACTTGACGAACATCCATGTCTACAGCCCAGCCCTCCTCCATCAAGGATCTGTGGTATGATCTCCAATACAAGAAAATCCCAGAGAGAACCGAGATGAGATCGCCACGTCCCGCCACGCCATGCAGTACTTGTGCTTCAGCCTGGCGGGCCCGTAGGGTATCTGTGAAAGCCACATCCTCCAAGGGGGACCGAACCACTACTCGACTTGTGGCCGCTTCTGCCTCTTGCTCGGCGAATTTCCTCGCGGCGGTCATACAAGACCTTCGAGCATCATTCCCCGGCAATGCACCTATCCCTCGTCGTCTTCTCCGTCTTCATCCCTCCCAGCTTGGCGAGATCCATTCACGACTTCTCGCCCACGCATCCGACTCGCTGCTCGAGCCTCGTGAATCCGCGCAATCGCCCGATGCGTCTTCGCCAACCTCTTGTAGTCACCGCTTCTCTCGTACTCTTCGGCAAGCTGCTTGTAGCACTCCAGTGCGTGGACTCCGTACTCCCTCTCGCGGCCATGTTGCTGCCTCTGCTGCTGAGACGAGGGCGACAGGCCGTCAATGCTTCTCCTGGCCCGGGCAAGTTCTTTCGCCTCGGAGTTTTGAGACTCCTTGCTGGCGGTCCGCTGATGCTTGCCTCTGTCATGGCCTTTATGGTTCGTCGTGTCTGTCAGATTTCTCGCCATCTGGTCCTCGTCGGGATCAGTGCCGGTGAGTAGGTCAACGAGTTCTTCGATTGTGCCCACCAATTCCTCGAGTGCCGTCCACAACGCATCGTCCGGCTGGTTCGCTATGGTGGAGAACAGCTCGAGCAACTCCGTGATGAAGATTTTGCGACTCAACGCCTCGTTCGCCGTCGCCGGCTTGGCCTTGAGAACGGAGTTGAGGGCACCAATGATTTCAGTCTCGATCAGCTCCAGGTCTTCGCTGAGCGCCCACTCGCTAACGATCATGGTCTGGAGCACTTCGACGGCCACCTTTCGGAGGCCCTCGTGCATGCTCAGACAGAGACTGATGGTGGGCGCGACGAGGCTAGGCACATACTGCACTTGATACCCGCCCAGCTTGCGGATGTTGTACCTTCGCTGGTCGTCCGCCGTGGCTTCCCAGCCGAGACTTTCCCAAGCTCGGCGGAGAAGGTCCGCCCCAGACTGACGAACGTCGCCCGCAATCTTCCAGACCGCACGGCGTTTCTGTTCCGGGAAAAGTTCAAGCGTGAGGGCTGGTGAAGAGACAAGAGTGAGTAGGGTGTCGAGGAAAGACTTCCATAGTTGCATGTCAAAACTGTCAGCGTCTTCTGGCGTCGGCAGGTATGATGAGACGAGGAGTGTGGAGAGATGGTTCAGAATCGTGAGGGCCGACGAGTGGTGATAGATGTGCAAACTGAGCCATGTCGTGGGAAAAGCATCGTTCCCCAGGAGTGATCGTAATACTGCGAGCGTCGAGTTAATGTAATTCGACAGGTCTGGTCCCTGAAGTTTCAGGGTTGAAGACTGTTTGATCTTTGCAATGGTAGATATGAGGGACGACAGCTCAAGCAGCGTTTCATCAAACTGATCGTTGGCGTCGGATGACTTCGTGGTGAACGGATAGGAATCTGGAAAGAGAAGGGATAGTGATCGCCGCCTCACGGGAGCTCGCTCTGCGATGGCTTTGTACGCAGAGATGAGTTTCGGCATGAAATCATGGAGGTGGTGAGTAGGAACGCGCGTGAGCTCGGCCACAACCGAGCAGCATAGTCGCACCTGTTCGTGCCAGTCCTCCGTTTCATTGTTGGGGGTCCAGAAAGGCGTCAGCCACCTGATACAGCTCTTCACCAATACCTTCCGATCTTTCTCGTCGACCCAAATCTGATCTAGCTTGGTGTAATTCAAGATTAGGATGATCCTATACAAGAGGAGCTTCCCCGTAGCTCCCTCGCATGCGTCCATGAAGTCAACCGCGATAGTCAGGACTTCTTCCTTGCTAAAGGCCGGCAGCAGTTCCGGCAGCCAATCATGGAATTTCTGAACAAGCAGCGTCTTGCTGCCGACAAGGGCTGCTGTCTCGCTGCGCATCATCATCTGCAGTCCAAAAAGGATTGCTTGCATGTCTTCCTTGAAATTGGAATGCTTCTCGTCGCCATCTCTCTGCTGGGAACCGAAACGTCGCTGCTGGTAGGAGATGATGAGGATTCTCATAAAATTCTTGCCAACTTTGAAGAGCGCTCTCATATCGCGAGCACTCTGAGGGTCTGATACACTTTGTAACAGCCGTGTAAAGCTGCGGATTAGGCAAGATGCGGCGTATGGGAAGCGGAAATGGTTCTCGGTATATTGTTCAATCAGAGGCCCCAAGTTGAATCTTCTGTCGTGCACAATTCCAAGTACCCACACAATGTCGTTAAAGATCAAGTCTTCGAACTTTGACTCGCCTGATTTGTGCACCAGGACGCCAAATAAAGCATCTAGTACCTCTTTGAGCTGCTTGACAATCTCGATTTCTGGAACGAAAGTCAGCTTCTGGAGTATATCCAACAGCTGGACCGATGTCTGGTGCTTCCAATTAATGAGGCTGACCAGGCTTCGGTCCTGTGAATATTCTGTGCTGCAAAGGTGAGTGAAAACTTCCAGGGATGCAATCGTGGCCAAGGCCCCCTCGTGAATAGTCTTATAACTGGCATTATTCCAGGCTAAGGACAAGTAGGCGCCACGCCCCTGAACAATGCTGGATGTAATCTTGTCATACGCATGGAGGATAAGTGAATGTCTGCCGTCACTGACAAAGGCTTGCTTGTCCCATAGCGGCAGCCAAGCCAACGCAAATGGAAACTCAGGTGCATCGGCGATGCTCAGGACCAGGTGACTTTCGGGCACTTTTTCGGTGGGTACTCGCAGGCACAGTGTCTGATCCCATCTGTGGTCCAGCTCCACAGCATTTGTCCGGAAGGCTGTGACTCCCGCCCCGTTAGAGGAAGGGAAGATGCAATGCTCGACGCGTCGTCCAGCATTATCACGGACCTCCATGGTAAGTTGGAGATTCTGAGGTGAATGCGCTTTGATCGGCGCCACGTTCACTTCAGGATGGGACAGAAATGAGCCTTGAGCAAGCACAGCCCTGCTCAAAGTCAGGTAAATGTCTGAACGGGGCTTGGTTGGCGCTTCGGAGAACCCAATTTTCTGGGTCTTGGTAACCATGTGCATTGAAGTCGGAGTGTTCTTGATCAGGGTGTCCGCGTCCGGAGCGGTGTAAGGTGTCAAGGTCAGGTTCACGTTGGAGATTTGACCTGACACAACCAGAGCTTTGCCGGAACTGTCCAGGAGCTGGGCCTCTACCCGGTGAGACTCGGCACCCTTCTCGTCGTCCCGCTGTGACAGAGACCAGATCGTAACACTCTCTTCGCATGGCTGGCGCTCTCTCATGATACTCGCAATATCTAGAACACCAACTCCGACGGTTCGAGGAACGGGTGGACCTGCTGGCTTGGTCTGGCCATCTTCCTCTTCTTCGATGATGGATGGAGTCGATGATCTGTCTTGCGACTGGGGTGTTGTTCGTCCATTTTGAGCCGGCTGGGGTCTCTCGGCATTCCTTTTCTTTCCGAACATTAGACTCGACCGTCGCCTGTTCAGAGACAATTGTCGTTGGCCAAGTAGAGTACCATTTCGTGACGGTGGCCTAGTTGAAACACTTCTTTTGGGCTTCCGAGGAGGCTCCGACACCACAATCTTGACGGCAAGATACAAGCGACCATCCGTGCCAATGTCATGATTGCTCAAATCTGAGAAGAGGGTCTTCATGTTGCTGTTGGCAGTAGCACTATATGTTTCTGAGAACGGTTTGAGGTTCCCTTCAATGTCCCTTTGGTAGAGTGCGAGATTTACTGATGCCGCG